ATACCGGGGTGGTTAACCACCTCACATCCCATAATCTGCTCTCAGACAAGCAATATGGTTTCCGCTTTGCCCGATCTACAGCCGATGTGCTCACAGCCATCACTGAAACAGTCTACCGAGCTCTCCAAAATAACGGGGAAGCCCGAACCGTGGCACTAGACATCTCCAAAGCATTTGATAGGATTTGGCATGCTGGCCTTTTCGCAAGCTCCAGGGTTATGGCATTACGGGTCGATTATATAACCTAATACAATCATTCCTGTCAAACCGTGAATTGAAGGTCGTTCTCAACGGATTCTCCTCCAGCTCCTATCCCACGAACGCAGGTGTTCCTCAAGGCTCCATCCTAGGCCCCACTATTCCTAAATCACAGTGGTTAAGTGACTGGAATCCCTGGAGATTAATCTCTGAAGCATAATTAAGGGTTCGGACTTTTTTTATGTAGAATATACTGCTATTCAAACCCGAAGACAGCGTAAAGGCACTCAAATGTAACGTTAGCATAAAAGATCTTATCTTGAAAACCGAGTACGTCGGCAAGCGTAGGACCAAAGTATCAGTGTTTGAGGTTCTTTCCAGGTTATCGGAGAGCATCTGGACATCTACCTGTTGCAGTACGGACAAATACTGGGTAACACTAGTGATAAGCTTAACGGGGGATAGAGTTTTCACATCATGCCCAATTGGGAAGCCTTCCTCTCCGTCCTCAAGTGTCTTGATGTAGCAGCCCTGAAAATGCCAATCATAATAAACGGTCATATAGTAACGTGCTGGAAGTGTGGAAAGACTGGTCACCTCTCCTTTTCCTGCCTAGAGATGGCCTCTGGAGTTCAGACCCTACCAAATGTAACCCCACTTGAGCCGAGTCTGTTGTTAAAACCTCGCCTGTGATGGGTTTACCAATAACTGGGACCGGAGTGGTCATATCTCCGGTTGGGTCCCATTTACGGCTGACATTTCCCGAACAGATTTGCCCGGTGCCTTTGTAATTGAGGAGAAGGAACGAAAGAATCCTAGATTTCTGGTAGGTTCAGAGGGAAGCGTCAGTAAACGAGACCTCAGTCCCCAGAAGCTCCCGGTTAATACAGTCCCACTTACAGCCCCACTCCCTCTGTCAGTATTAAGGGCGAAACCCCAGCCTCAAGTACATCAATTAAAGATCTTCAAAGGAATTACGATCCTGGTTTTGAAAAATTTGATGATTAATTATTCACTAAATCACCCTCACGCTCCTTGACCCTCTACCTTGTCCTCCTCTATTCAGAAATCCTTTTACCTGAATTATAATCTACATATTCATTTCCCTGCAAATCTATTCCACTCAGTGGAGATTCCAGTCCCTTCGGGAGAAAAGACTTTTTATACTCCAAGTGCTATACCTAGTCCTTATCCCCCCGCCAAAACAAAAAATGCCTCCGCTTAACAAAAGGCAAAGAAGCCCCTCTGTTGAGGGTAAGGAAAAAAGAAAACAAACCCAAGGTGCCTACAATTTACGTCTGTCGTCATTACCCGACCAGTCTGAAAGAACTAAAAATTGTAGAAACAGAATCAAAGAACTGAAATATCTGCTACCAATTAAAAAGCATCAACCTCCCCAATCAAAAAAAAAAGTTCTGATAGTCATCAGAATGGGATCGGGTAGCTATGGGGTATCATCGAGTTGTTTGTATTAAAAAAAAAAAAAAAACAATATTATAAATTGCTTATCACTCTCTTCGTTTTATTTATCTATCTGGCTTACTAATTATCACAATGTGTTAGTATCTGACAATGGTTTGTGTGGGTGGAGGTTTTCCTACGTACGTACGGAATGAGTGAAGTACATATATACTCAGGTAAGTTCCTTCTGAATATAAAAGAAGTAAATATATCGAGAATCCCTATAAAGAGAGCAATATAGTATAGTATTTTACAACGCCCCTTGTTGCAATATATTTCCCCGTGATAGATAGATATGAAGAAAGGTAGATAAGTATGCCAAACTAACAAAGGCAACAGAAAGAGAATGAGAAGGAAATACTGAGATAGATAGATAGATAGATAGACTTCACTATATATACTTTACAATTATGGGAATCTATATACGAGAAGAAGAAAAAACGAATATCCTTAGATACACATAATATTTCAAGCAATTGGAAGACAGCTAGAGATAAATAAATATATTTCAGAAGTCATTCAAATTCAAATTCACCACATCACTTTCAATTTTAGTAAACCAGGAAATCAACCTGAAACAATTTTGTGTCGGGAGGGCACATGTTTTCGTTAATCATTCCATTTATAGAGCGTTAAAACTGATATATACCGGTTCCATTAAAAATGAGATGAGACATGGTTCAATGGGGTTCAATGGGAGAGGCTCTTGATGTCCTTTCCCCGACTATGTTTAAGTCAGATTCCAAACCATAATCGGACTGATAATTGCTATCTAGTGGATAAGTCTGAATGTCCGGGGCCTGAGTTCGGAGACTCAATGGACGAAGCTTGCTCGCGATCTTCAGTGTCTCGTGGCGGATGTATTCTGTTTGCAGGAGACCCGTTTTTCAACTCCCGACTGTGAAGATATTCTGTCTAAGGCGTTTGTAATGAATTCCTTGATTCCTATATAGATCGTATAGTGAAAAAAAAAGAACGGATGCTTACAACCTCGATTAGAAATCGTTTTGGGACTTTATCGGCAAGTTTATAACATATTTATGTTATAATTTTATTATATATATATATATATATATATATATATATATATATATATATATATATATTAATTGATTTAAAATAGGGTTTCTTCGCTAGACAGGAATTACCATGTTTCACATTAGGTTCTGTGTAGAATTACATACATTACCATGCATGAAGGTAGATACTTAAATAATTACTTGGCTCGATGAGTTTTGGGAGATTTGTTTGTGTACATGACTTTAGTATGGAATAAAGAAGATTGAGAAGTCAGAGGATTGATTGGCAACAGAAATGAAGAAAGCAGCGAATGATTGCGCATTCATTAAAATGAAGGAACAAAGATTTATATGTTGTTTATACTAGAAAAAAAATTAGCTTGTTATATATTTAAGACATCAGGAAATTCAAAAAATATATATCAAATGCTTTCTATATTTTAATATTATGGATTTATTTAGGGAATAAATGTAGATTTCTAATACAGATATACACGCATAAGCAAATCTGTCGATAGGTGCTCACACATGTGCACACACACACACGATCATATACCGCGTATACTAAAGTAGAGTGCGAGTTTTTATTATCAGTGTTTTAAGCAAAAAATAGGAGTTTGTAAGATACACTAGAAAGTTTTTTGAAGAGGTTAAAAATCATGCATTTTCTATGATCGGTTGCCTTATAGATAGGTATTTGTTTTCTGTAGGAGTTACAATTTGTCCAAAATATTCCAGGGGTCGTACTATACGGATTATACACGAGTATATAGGATATATGTGTGTGAGAGTACATATCTATTCATCTGCTTATTAATCTACTAAATACTCACACAGACACGCATATGAATATACAAATATCATATGTTATTATGATATTTGTATAATTATATACAATTTTATAATATATATCTATATCTGTATCTATAAATGGCATTCTAATTGTGTATCTTTGTGTCTGTCACCTTGTTACCTCTTCGTCCGATTCGCATGAAAATTATCAGCTTTTCAGTGATAGTTTTCACAAATTACAAGTGATATCCACTGTTCTTATAGTTTAGAGGTGCTTTTCTTTGTTTTTAAAAATCGATATCACTTATTGGAAAAAATCGATAAAATTGGGACATCCAATTCAAATCCAATGTAGATGATTTTTGGTTCTGTTTTTCGCACACTGAAAAGAATGTTCACGAAAATCATGTTGAGCATTAGTTTTTATCAACAGTTATTAGTTGCTGACCTTTTTCTTCAATATCGGTATCAATTATCGGAAAAAATCAATAACATCATGCCGCTTTTGACTTCCAATTCAAATCCAGTAAGCTGATTTTTGGCGAAGAATTACGTTTAGCATTGTTTTTTATCAACAATTATGAGGTGCTGACATTCATTTTCAATATCGATATCAATTACTAGAAAAAGTCGATACAATCGATCACTTTGGGACATCCGATTCAAGTCCAGTCTTGCTGATTTTTGGCTATATTTTTGGCAAATGGCGAAGAATTTTCAGCAAAATTCCCGTTGAGCATAGAATTTACCGACAGTATTGAGGTGGTGACTTTCATTTGAAATATCGGTTTCAATTATCGGATAAAAATCGATGAAATCATACCCCTTTCTACTTACCATTCAAATCGAGTTTACCTGAATTTGGCGATGTTTTTCGCAACTTGCTTTAGTCGTGACAATTAAAAACTTTTGCCCTGTGATCTCTTTTGTGACTAACTAATACCTGAGGGAAGTCGATACAATCATGTCTTCATCGGAATTTGCGAATACATCAATCAAACGTATGTTTAACTGAGACATCTACACTACAGACTCTACAGCTGATTGTTATTCACACATGCTTGACCATGATTCACTTAGCGGCATCTTATTGGCTGAGTGCAGTACGCGGTCGCTGATTAGTGGTCGAGACCCTAGGACGCTCGGTGATTGGCACAACCGATTGGTCAGTAATACTTCGCATTTGAACCTTCTGTGCACAGCTGTGGAACGAAGGTCTCACTTCTGCTTCTGTTACGCCGCCATCCGGTTGATACGATAGGCTCCTTCAATTGATCATTTCTCCTACTGCAAGTTGTTTCTTACGTTTTTCTTTTCCTTTTGTCTGTTTAACTACATTTTCAAACTACCATAAACAATTTATTCAGCTGCTTTACTTAAATACCTGCCTTCCCAATTCTGGCTCACGCTTTGCGATACTAATTTAGACTTTGTACTCCTGCAATTGAGCAAACCTAATCAACCTCTACTAGCATCACTTTTCCACATGCCGCCAGAAAGGAGGGTACGTCTTAGCCTTTGGACTTTAAGAGTGTCCGCTATGAGAGCAAGAAGGGCCGAGAGTCCCAGGATTACAATGCGACTGTGACAGGTCGCTCACCCAGGCCTCGCAGTCCCAAGAGGAGCGTGCCACCTGATTGGCTGGGAAAGCTGCCTACAGGGCATCGTTGCGATCAACGCTCAAGAATGCACAACGGTCGCGAATCAACGCACAGGCTGCAGCAGCCGTCTCTGCCTCTGTGGCTTCCGAGACTCATCATCAAAGGCTTCTTCGTAACGTAAGAAACGCTGCTGCCACTGCGAAATCAAGGCCAATACAGACATTTGACCGCAGACGCACCCGTCACGCTGCTGCAACAGCTAGGTCGAGGAGTCCGAGACAGAGCTACAGCGGGCAACTCACAATTCCCGCAAGGCTGATGCGAATTATGCTGCCAGAAACTCCAAGAGCCCTCAGAGAAAGGTAAACAGACTTTCAAGGCCTGCTACAGACATGGCCGCTGTGCGCTTGTCTCAAACTCCCCAAGCACGCCGCATACTCCTCGACGGGGACATTCAGCGCTGTGCGGCCGCCCGTAGTATTAGCTGTCCCAGTAGTTCTTTTTTGTCTTTCTTGACTTTCAATTACGACCCCGCATTAACTTAACTACGCGTGACGAAATAAATGTAGGGTCCATGACCTGCATTTGCCAATTCTGCAACGCCCGCAAATGGGCCGGGAAGCCTTCCGGGCTGTGCTGCTCCTCCGGCAAAGTTCGACTTCCACCTCTGCATGAACCACCTTCTTCTTTGGGGGGATTAATAGCCGACTCCCATCCCGACTTCAACCACATCCTTAAAGCAATTAGGCAATACAACTACTACTTTCAAATGACTCCATTCAAGTGTACTTTATTGCAGACTACAACCTACAGGCCGAAACCCGGATTGGTATTTTGCCGCCGCCGGGAAGAGTTCCTCGTAGGGACGTCATACTACTACTTCAGGCCATGCTTCACGAGGTTAACAGCTACATTCGCAGTTTCAAATATGCTTTGGAAAATGCTCTCTTTCCTAACTTCAGCATTGTAATTCACGTCGACAAACGGTCTCATGATGAACACGAACGCCGCTACAATGCTCCTGCGTGCAACGAAGTGGCCTCTATTATACATGGGGAGCAAGACCGCACTCGCGATGTTGTCCTCAAATCAAGAGACCCGTCGATCATATGAAGCATTGCAGTACCCTTTACTTTCCCCTTATGGTGACGATGGCTACCACTTCGGCATTCCCCTTCAAACTCCGGGTGGCCAACCTGCAACGTCTTCCAAAGCCTTATCGTGCAAGGCTTTCTACTCATACCGTTTCATGGTTAGGGATGGAGACTCCAAACTGTTTCATAGATGCAGGGAGGTTTTCCACCAGTTTGCAGTTGACATGGCCGCTAAGATGGAATCGGAGATGCTTTGTTTTATACGGAATCATCAGAAAATTCTGCGCTCAGACTCTTACGTACGCTTACGCGACATCCTTCGAAATGAAGTAAATCCCCGCGACCTAGGGAAGCTGTGCATTTTGCCCTCTACCTACACTGGGGAGACGCGTTATGTGCATGATCACACGCAGGACGCTCTGACATACGTTGGGCAATATGGACGGCCATACGTATTTATAACGTTTACCTGCAACGCCAAATGGTTTGAGATAACGCGTGAACACCAACCCGGACAGGATTACACTCACAGACATGAGATTAACGCCTGTGTATTCCCGCTTAAAACTGGGAAAACTTATGGACTTAATAGTGAAGGGGTGAGTCCTAGAGTGAAAACGCAACCACTATTAGACATTGCCAGAATTAAAAATTCTTGACCGATTATGAACGGGTGGCAGTCTTTGGGTAATCACGGAGCAGCAACACAGCTGCCACCTATTGCAACCGGTTGCCTTTGATCTCATTGATTTTGCTACCATTGAGATTCAAGGACCTATCAATGAATGAGTAAATAGTAGTGTTGTCCGGGTAGATGCCTACTTGGGAACCTACGACGTCAGGAAGATCGTTAATGAAGATTAGGAAGAGAGTAGGGCCTAGGATAGAGCCTTGGGGAACACCTGCGTTTGTGAGATAGGAGCTGGAGGAGAATCAGTTGAGAATGACCTTCAATACATGGCTTGATAGGAATTATTCTATTAAGTTATGCAGAAGAAGAAAATTCAATCCAACAAACATGATGTGAATTATAACCTATCCGAGTAGGTATGTAGTATTGAGATTTTAGTTGAGAAATGTAAACAGGCTAGTTTATTCATGCATCTAAATCTATGTTTAATAGTCGCTTTAAAAATGCTTGTGCAACTTCCGATATATGTACATAAATAATAAATTGCAATTATTTCTTCTATTTATGTTTCCCTAATACGGTTGAGAAAGAAAATATTTTTAAGCTTTCACCTAACTTGGAAACAATACCGAAGTAATTTTCATCACTTTTAGTTTTTATTTATTTTTCGTTACCCTGGGATGTTCCGCCATATTTTGGTATGAATCCTTCTGTATCTGTCTATATTTCTGAGATGAATTATTATGTACACTATTTACATCATTCGGGCTATTGTCTTCATCTTTGTTGCAATATTTATTACAACGCTCCGGCCTTCTTCAGGTGGTTGGAATGTTGAACTGAACCCTTCATTTCGTTCACTGTGGTAGGCTGTTCTAGTTCCACGTGCCATGTTTTAATGGATGTCAGTTATCAGTTATCTCCTGTTAATTCCCTTCTCCAAATTCTCCACTGCCTTAACCAGGTATTAAACTCACACTTTTTGGATCCTGTCACTAGTTCTAACAGACGCCATTATGACATCAATGACATATGGCACAGTGGATAAAAGCGTTAATTAGTGTTTTCTCTAATTTAAATGGTTCGTTGTCATGCATATAATACCACTATTATGACATTGTGGCATGTATTCATTTTTGGCTACTGAATAATTTTTTCTTTAATTTTCCAAGCACAAAAAAAACATAAAATTTAAAAGTTAAAATTTATAAAAAACAAAATTTGCACAAAACCGATACGATGTAATTTTCCTTTACTGGTTCATCAAACTGAGAGTGTCAAAGAGATATAGAAGCTGATTCCCCCCCACACACACACACACATATTCATAGTACTTTACGTGTGTATGAACGAAAAACACTGGGAATTTTCAGGCAATCATGACACAGGCTGCCGCTCTATCCCTGCGGTTAAGTTTTTTGTTTTTTATTTATTTCACTATTCTTGTGTTCTTATGTTTTTTTTTTCTTTTCTGAGAAATAAAGTATGTAGAAATTGTTTGAATGTTCTTCATGTCTGAAATCTTTGGGTTATTCTTTTAACTTTTATCAAAGATGATTTGATTTTTTTTCTTACTTTTTAACTGGATGTATGGATGTTTTATGCATGTGTCTAGGGTTATAGAAATGTTTTATTTTTCAAACACGGTCAGTAAATTGTAGCCGTGTTCAAAATTGATTTTATTAAGTGTTGGCTTTTTTTCTTTTTCATTAATAATGCTTCCATTATTTTTATCCCATTTTTTACATGTGGATGAGGCTAGTATATTTGTATTATCAACAAGTACGTTGCTGATGAATTTTGCCATGAGTATTTAAATGAGATGGACATAATTCATAAAAACAAAGTTTTATTGACAATTTTCTCTTATTATTACGAGAAAAGACAAAAGTAATTTTTATTATTAGATTATATTTTTGTATTCTTTTAGAATGTTCGAAATTTGGTTTGGAAATCTTGTTTTACTTGCGTCAACAGAGGGACCAAAGATTAGTATTGGAAAGTTTAAAGTTTTTTTTTACAGTAAAAAATAGTTAGAAATTTTTGCAAAATACAAATAATCGGTGGATTTTAATGAAACTCAGGACCGATTTAAAAATGCATTAAATTATTTTAGAAGTGTAACTTTTTTTTAGAGATTCTTGGTAAAAAAAGAAAAAGATTTTATATCTGTTAAACTCTCCCCACCACATATACACACTTACTTAATTTTATGTAATTTGAAAAAAAATTGTACCGTTTAATGTTTATATAACTATACGTAGAACCTCTTGTAGAATTGAAACCATCAGTTAACGAAAATCTGCTCGAAATCGTAAAATAAAAAAAATGTAATGAAAATAACATATAATTTGATTACAAAAGCTTTTAAATGATTTTCTGAATAAGATATATTATGCACAATATTGTCTGAAGAAAAAAAATCGATGAATAATGAATTTTTACAAGAATTGTTTTCAGCTAAAAAAAAAAATAAAAATTAGAATATTTTATAAAGTTTTCAATCTTTTAAATTTCTGTTTTAATTTGTAGCGATGAAGTGTTACTGCTATTAGATAAATAGTAGATTTTCTAATCATAAATTAAAACACCTGCTAAAATTCAGTGATACCTAATATTTTAAACATAATTTTGCATTTGTTGTTTCTGTATAAACGAGCAATTTTTTGAAAATACAGACGTCCGTACACAACATTATCAAAAAATTAAAACCATAAGTAAAGTGCAAGCTGAAATCTAATAAAACATTCGATTAAGGAGAATATTTTCTTAAATATTCAAGATTAATGTGTTCTTAAAAACCTATATAATAACACGTTATATTCCTCAAGTAATTTTAACAGATATATCCATCCTAGAAAATTTACATGAACTTATCTCTATCAACACTTTAAATAAACAAATACTTCCGTGTTAAAAAAGCATTTCTGCGATATTTTAGACTTAAAGTAAGTAATATTTGTTTTAGACTTAAAGTAAGTAATATTTGTTTTCAATCAGATTAATTAAACTTAAATAAGCTAACATTCAACAAATGAAATTTCGAAAAAGTATATTTTACTTTTAAATGAAGAGGGTTGTATTGTGATGACAAATGGCTAAGAATGACGTTAAAATTCCTGATTTTTTTAGCGCTTTCAAAACAAACTTCTAGTGAAGTTAGTTTTGAAATAGACAAAAATATATCTTGCTCATTGGCACTATTAAAATGAATTTATTAGATAGGAATTAAAAACTTCAAGAAATATTTTTCATTCTTTAAAATTCATTTTAAATATTAGGTAATCGCATTTCTGTGGAGGTAATACACCTCCCAGATATTTAAATTTACGTACTTGCTTGATTTTGGCATTTCGTAAATGTTTATTCTGATTCCTGACAACAATGTATTCTCTCCTTTTTTCACAATTGTTGATTAGTCCTATCTTTTCATTTTCCTTTGACAGTTTCTCTAGGAGCCACGCATTCTTCTTTCTATGTCTAATATCAACACTGTTACTAGGACATCTGTTATTCTTAAATTGTTTTCGTCAATAATAAATTTAGATAAGATTTCTAATTCTTCCAGAATCGTCTCGCTGTAAAGTGTTACGTTCTGTTTTGCCTCTGGGTCCCCACATTCCTACATATAATGGCATTAAGGAAAAGTACGATTTCTTTTGCTTATTCGATTTTATTAAAAGAGAGAAAAGACATGGCAGCTTGAATTTTAAGAGGCGGTGGTATGAATGACGTCACGTGAGCACATGTCGCACGTTGGCTTAGCTCCCATTCGCATATTGTCTTAGTCAATCTCTTAACCTGGGTTTGAGCAGCGTATCAAAAATTTAAACGTTTTACGACCCTCTGCTGAACTCATGAATTTCTGTAAGTTTTTTTGTTCTCAGCTCCATGGAAAACTGATAATACCATACACTTCTACGTCCGGGTACTGTTTCATTATGTTATCATATTCGTTTACGAGCGGCACTATTTTGACCGGTATAAAAATTCTTATACATCCCTTGTATTTTTTTTAACATTTCTCTCAATGTTTTAATAGATGATTTCTGCTTATCTGTACATTACTTTTTGGATAACCCCGATAAATGTATAACAGATTCGGAAATATTTCGCCGAAAAAAAAAAAAAAATATCCCCACTTCAATATGATTTCTCGTCACGTTGTGAAACGACACATGTGAATCCGAAAATTCCGATTTTTAATATCTTTTCACCTTATGTTTCCATTGGGCCAAAAGTTCTACTCATAATAGAATAAATATTTTTATTCTTATCAATATATTTTGCTGTTTGTTGTAAATCTTAATTTCTATCATCGCCCTAGTATATCTATCTTTCTATACACACACACACACACATATATATATATATATATATATATATAT